AACCGTAAGAAGATTCGAGTCAGGAGATGAATAGATGGAGATGTCAGCAATTAATTCAAGTTTAAATGGGGTATCAAGAGTTTCAAATGGTAGGAGCAGATAGAGACATCGGCAACAGAGTACCAAAGAACAGATCAAAGAAGCTGTATGAAGTAGGTGAACCTGAAGTATTCAAGAAAGAATCAAGCGAAGAAAGACAATGGAAGACTAAGGCAAAAAGCAGTTAGGAACAAGCTGAAGAAAATTCAGAAGGTGGAAGCCAGACAAAGAAGAAGAAATCAGAGTGCACAACATAAGCATCGTACCTTGTGAATTCGGGGACGAATTCATTTAAGGAGGGGAGAATGTAATACCCCTGATTTAGGGTATGAAGTCAACGCGAATTCAACGACTTATGATCAACCAAAGTTTGGAGTATTTTGCTATATGGAGGCAAAGGAACGTGAAGAGCAAGTTTGGAGCTGAGATTTTGTGCACTTAATGTGGTCTTAAGTGGGATTAGTATTCTAGAAGATGGCACGAAAATGGTTTGGTTCCAAGCATATTCTTGCATGCATGGATTTAGGTAATAAAATGGGGACAAGTGTAAAGACATGTGTCATGTGTTTCCACCCATTCCTTTGGCTATAAATAGAACCAGTAGGATCAACTTAACTTATTTTAGCAAACCGGAGCTTTCTCTCTCTCTATCTTTTCTTGTTGTTCTTTCTTGAGAGAGAAAGTGACTAAAACCACTAAATTTTTTAAGTGAGAGAGGTGAGTGTAGGACGTTTTTTTGCGTGAGCTTATCCTTGCTTTATGATACCTTGTGGTGTTCTAGAAGAGGTGGTAATACCTTAGAAGATTCGTTTGTAGGTTCCATTTCTCTTTTAGCCTTTAGCCTTATTTTGATCGGTTTTGGTATAACCCTTAGATCGTGAGCTTTTGGAGCTGTCATGCGGTTTGTGAAAACCTAGGTGTGTTTCCTGTGTGGGTGTGTGTGTTGAGTGTGATTAAGCGTGTGTGTGTGTGCAGGTTGGAGAGCTTGAGCCGTGTGGTTCTTAAGCTAGAAACACTTTTGCGGTTTATGTGTGTGTATGGGAGTTGGTAGACCCCATAATTGTGTGTTTAATTATGTTGCATGATATATTCATGATTGTGTGATTGTGTATTTAGAGTTGATTGAATGCTTGTCTAGATGTTAGTTAAACCGCATTGTTGTGTAGTATTGTTATAGCATTGTTATCTAGACTTGTTTGTGAGTAGCATGCATTGTTACTAGGTTGTGTAGCATGCGTGTCTAGATAATGTGGTTTGGTAGCATGTTTTGATATTTTTAACTTGCTAGATTACATACATTCACTTTTAGTGTTGTAGTTGCATATGTCATGGTGTTGTGTTGCATGGAGATTTGAGTGAGACTATCTCTCATGCTGGTTCATATGCATTGCATGTAGTGTAATTGGGGTTGCATAGAGATTTGAGTTAGACTCTCTCTTATGTCGGATAGAGTCTAGGTGTGTCACTCGCTTGAGTTGTGTTGTGTTTCTAGTCTAGACGAGGTGCGCATGGAGGTTAGAGGTGGAGCTCCCTCATGCTGGTTGTATTTTGTACTTTAGTCTAGACTAGTGCGAGTGAGTGTGTGTGTCTTGCATTTTAGTCTAGATGCGCATTGCATGGAAGTTAGAGGTGGAGCTCCCTCATGCTGGTTTGAGTTGTGTTGCATCTTAGACTAGTGCTTGAGTGTGTATGGCTGTCCCGGTGGTATATCCCTCGCGGTGGGACTCTCCGGTGATATGCTTGGACTATGGAGTTAGATTGGGAGAAACCCAATTCTCCAGTGGTGGAATGACCTTCTCTCCACAAGCTTGTCAAGTTAAGTGGACCGCGCCCATGGACGAGCGCTGCATGACGATGTGGTCCGGGTTAGATTGGGAGAAGCCCAATTTCCGGAGTGATGTATTTAAGGCTCCGTTGTGTTGGGGATCCCAGGATTTTGTGTACATCCGAATGTGATTTTGTATATTGTCTTTGAGTCTAGGATCGAGTCTAGATGTTTTTGGGTTTGTGTTAGTCTCGGGGAAAGACTTGGGGTTTTAGCGTCTTTGGTTGTTGCATTGCATTGCATTCATCTTAATTTTATAGAATCCAATTTAACATATTTTAACAAAAAGAAAAAAAATAAAAAACTATTTCCAAAATTTTAATTTAAAATATATACATATATATTATTGAATAAAAAATTAATCAAAAGTTATTTATTTTACACATATAATTAACGCAAAATTAATCATGTAACAAAATAATAAATTTCAAAATGATTTTAAATATAATTTTATTTTTAAAACTTTTATTTCTACATATTTTTCAGGAAAACACCTAGTATTGAAAAAAATAAGAGTATTTACATTTTGTCTATCTTCTGTAATTTTTAAGCAAATAATTCTTTTTTTTGTAACAACTTTTAAGCGAATAATTCAACATCGATTTTTTTAGTAAAAGAGGCTAGCTTTTTTTCATACAAAACTTTGTTTTATTGATTGTTCTGTTCTGATTTAATTAACTAAAGTATCTCAAATTTAAAGAATGAAATAACCTTATAAGAAAAAATATTGAACAACAAGAAAAAAAAATTAATCTCTATCTACTGCTCCAACAGATTAACTTAGGGCTTGATTGGTAAAGCATTAGTATAAGCATTATACTTTTTATTATCTAATCAACATTTGCCCAAGAACCATTTAGAAAAGTATTTACCAAATATTAATGCTATTCAAATGATTTTTGCTCAATGCTCTCATAGGAGCTTTTCGAATAGTATTCGCAGTTAGAATATATAAAACTTAAAAAGTAATATACATAATTTTTTAATTATATAAACATATTTTTATAATAAAAATATATTTCTATTTTCAAATAAAAATAAGAATTATAATTAAATATTTTTAAAAAATTTAAATGAACAATATTTCACATTCCAAATATAATAATTTATATAATTAATTCATTATTTTAATAACAATCATAACATGCTATATATTTATATTTTTAAATAATAATATTTCACATACAAACTATAATATAATTTAAAGAATGAATAAGATTAATTGTTTTTAATAAAAATATATTATAAATATTTAAATATTATTTTAAAATAAATATATTATTATACTAATTATTATGATAAATTTAAAATTGTATATTACTACTACTCTATCAATCACTTTATTAAAAATTTTAATGAAATCATAGAGCTTCTGTAGTATATATAGTGTTATTGTTTTATCATCTGCTATGCCTAAGTTTTGATAGAGAAAAATGTTTGTACTATTTGCATTTATCTATCATATTTGGGTAAATAGTATTATTAATTGATTGTTGACCCAAAAAAAAAAAATATTATTAATTGATTATTACCACTGAATGAGAACATAGATATCATCGAAGGTCCTCCAAGCTCACTAACAGCTCTGAGAGGATCCAAGTTTTTTTCTCCCTTGTTCCATCGATGGCGGCTCTTTCGACATCTCTCTCTCTTTCCAGGAATACTCAACAACTCCATCCTTCATCTGGTATGCATCCGAATTTGAGATTCTATCGTTTATTCCACGTTACAGTTTTGATTTAGTGCTGTGTCGAGGTCACACGATTCTAAGGAACGAGATTGCTTTTTCTACTGTGATTTCCTTTTTTTCCCCCAAAATATCAAATCGAATAAACTCTCAGTTTTTGATGAATCATTTTTTGTAACGTGATTATATTTCTCATTTCATATTGTCTCGATTCAGTAATCTTTGTTCCTTGTTCTTCAATTTTATGCTAGGCTTTTCTCTGAAGCCAATTGCTCGTCGTGTCAACGTTTCTTTCGGGCTGTATCCCTCTAAAAAGCTCCAATTTTCTGCTCCTAGAAGCAAAAGGATCCTAACCATCCAATCAGCATACAGGTTAATAGTTACCGTTTTTGGGATCTGGTGAATCATTACCAATCTTTTATTATTGTTATTTTTTACATGTCCATTAGTTAGTCAGTCATAAGCCGCGGTTCTTCTGAGCATAGTAATTGATAGCAATGTCTGTCTTGCAGAGACGATGACAGTTCAGGCAGCACTGGCCTATTTGTGGGAGGGTTTATTTTGGGCGGGCTCATAGTAGGTGCTCTTGGATGTGTGTATGCACCACAGGTTATAATTCTCTGTAACATACTTTTTTAGAGTTGAGATCCCTTTTACAGCTCAATGTCTGATGATGATGTGCAAAACTTATTATTTCAGATCAGCAAGGCTATAGCTGGAGCAGACCGAAAGGATCTCATGAGGAAATTGCCAAAGTTCATATATGATGAGGAAAAAGCTTTGGAGGTGACTTGAAAACAATAATTTTTTCTTTGTTGAGTTTAATTTTTGTACTTACTAACACTATGTATTGCCTTAATGCAGAAAACTCGAAAGGTATTGGCTGACAAAATTGCTCAACTCAACTCTGCTATCGACGATGTGTCCTCTCAGCTAAAATCAGAAGACACCCCTAACGGTGCAGCTCTAAGCACCGATGAAGTCGAGGCTACAGCCTGAATAATCTCATCATCTGTTTTAGGATACTGAAACAAATTATGGGTCATTATTACTTGTTATTGTTTTGCTGTTTCTGCGTAATCTTGTCCAACTTTTCCTCCATCTTCAAACTACTACCATTGTCTTGTCTGTTTTTTTAATTTAACTATGTTGAACAATATATCATCCGTCTGTTTTTTTTAATTAAACTATGTTGAACAATATATCATCCATCATCATTTCCTTAGGCGAATGTGACATAGAAACAGTATTTATTTTTTTGTTTTAAATAAATGCGAGATACCTATGATGACTTTTAATCAATGGCTCACACAATCTTATCCCCAATTGTATCTTACCTACGTAGTAACCACATATTCATTTGCTTCACTATCAACCACAGGTTGCTTTTTATCAAAATCAAAGATGTGAGGATGCATGTATATATGCCACTGCTCAAAAATTTTCATTAGCATCCTTAGCCTTCTTCTCTTCTTGCGACTATGGCCACACATTCAGCTCTTGCCGTCTCCAGAGTCCCCGTCAAACCGAGGCTGCAGTCTAAGAGTGCCATTCACTCTTTCCCAGCTCAATGTTCCTCCAAGGTGATCTTCCTTCTACCTAGCACATACCATGTGTGTGTGTGTATTACGGTTTGTTTATCTCTTTGTCTTGTTGCCACACAGAGGCTAGAAGTGGCTGCATTCTCCGGCCTGCGAGTCAGCAATAACGGTGGGGAAGCATCTTTCTTTGATGCCATAGCTGCACAAATCACCCCCAAGGTGACTGATTGATTCCGTAACTTTATTGTTATGAATTTGCATATATATATATATATATGATCATCATGATGATGATGAGTTTGTGCAATATTATTAGGCTGTGGAAACATCCACTCCTGTTAGAGGAGAGACAGTGGCAAAACTGAAGGTTGCCATTAATGGGTTTGGAAGGATTGGTAGGAACTTCCTCAGGTGTTGGCACGGCCGCAAGGACTCTCCTCTCGAAGTTGTTGTGCTTAACGACAGTGGTGGTGTCAAGAACGTAAGTTGCTAATAAAATTTTAGCATATTTTGATCTCTTTTTGACCTTGTTGAAATCTTGTAGGCATCCCACTTGCTCAAGTATGACTCCATGCTTGGAACCTTCAAGGCCGATGTGAAAATAGTCGACAATGAAACTATCAGCGTTGATGGCAAGCTCATCAAAGTCGTCTCAAACAGAGATCCTCTTAAGCTTCCATGGGCTGAGCTTGGCATTGACATTGTCATCGAGGTGAATAATGTTCTATCTAAAGCTGCAAATGATATGATTCGCATGCAGAGGACCCTAATTAATGGAAAAATGGTTATGATCAGGGAACAGGAGTGTTTGTTGATGGGCCAGGAGCAGGGAAGCACATTCAAGCTGGAGCCTCGAAAGTGATCATCACAGCACCAGCTAAAGGCGCTGATATCCCAACCTATGTTGTGGGAGTCAATGAGCGAGACTATTCTCATGATGTTGCTAACATCATTAGGTAAAGTTTAAACAAACTAAGACCATAAATTAGTTGTTGCGTATTCATGTTTCATTTTCGGTTGTATTGGCAGCAATGCATCTTGCACCACCAACTGTTTGGCTCCCTTTGCGAAAGTTTTGGATGAAGAATTTGGTACAGTACTTTCTCTACTATAATTACATGTGGACAATAGTTGTTTCTTAGCTTACTCAATTACAGGAATCGTCAAGGGGACAATGACAACGACACACTCTTACACCGGAGACCAAGTAAATATCATTTGAACACACTTATCACGATTACATCTTTTAGTGTGTATGAAGTAGAACCGTATAGGATATAGATTTTCCATGGTTGATTCGATTTAATCGGTTTGTATCCGGTTGATTGAGTTTTGCATGATTTTTATTTGTTCGGCTTGATATTGATCTTGGTTTTCGTTTTGTTTGGGTTAAATAACTTAAATTTATTGAATAGTCATGCAGTCCTACTTGTAGTACAAGAACACATTCATCCAAAAAAAATAGTAACATGTTTGCAATGTTTCAGAGGCTCCTAGATGCATCACACAGGGACCTAAGGCGTGCAAGAGCTGCAGCACTGAACATTGTACCTACTAGCACAGGTGCCGCAAAGGCCGTGTCGTTGGTGCTTCCCCAGCTGAAGGGTAAACTCAACGGCATTGCACTCCGTGTGCCGACCCCAAACGTCTCTGTGGTTGATCTTGTTATAAACGTTGAGAAAAAAGGTTTGACAGCTGAAGACGTTAACGAGGCCTTCAGAAAAGCGGCCGCTGGACCGCTCAAGGGAATTTTAGACGTGTGCGACACGCCACTTGTCTCTTGTGACTTCAGGTGCTCTGATGTCTCAACCACCATTGACTCTTCCCTCACAATGGTCATGGGTGATGATATGGTCAAGGTGGTCGCCTGGTACGACAACGAGTGGGGTTACAGGTAAAAAAGTGCATTCATAAGAACAAAAAATTATATCTTTTTTTATTCAACCTACATAATATTTTTCGTTTCCCTTAACTTCACAGTTGTCTTCGGATAGGAACCCACGAGTTTTGGTTTTTCAAACAAAACAGGTTTTGTCAGTGAAAAAAAAAAAGTGTTGTGAAATGTGACCGTTTTAATAAGTACATGCACTATTTTTTTATTTTTTATTTTTTTTTAAAGTACATGCACTATAACCTTGACACTTTTTACAATTTTGATTTTCTTTTAAATAACTGGAAGTTGATTTAATACTTTCCCTTCAATATAGAAATCTTCAGATTTAAAAAAAAAAGAATCATATTTTCTGATGATACACAACTTTAAATATTATTATTGCTGGATTTTCACTTAAAATGTACGATAGAAAATGTCCACAAAATGTATTTCGACTTCACCACTACATTAGTTTGCAAATATGTCTCCTACGAAGTTCTTTTTACCTGATCAACATTTTATATAAAACCTATCTTTCTAATTGTAATTAGAGTATGAAATAATGTCTAAATTGTGATATAGCCAAAGAGTGGTGGATTTGGCTCACCTAGTGGCTGCCAAGTGGCCGGGAGAGGTAGCTGCTGGAAGCGGAGACCCTTTGGAAGATTTCTGTAAGACAAACCCAGCCGATGAGGAATGCAAAGTCTATGAATGATTTCGATCCTTTTCTCCAAACTGTCTCGAGCACTTTGTTTAATTTTCCAGCGACAATTTATCGAAATCATACAATTCGTACCTCTTAAACTCTATCATGTATTTCGTTTTCTTCTTTTTACTATTATATCGAAAGGCATAGTATGTAATACCCATTCCTTTTCATTGCCGCATATGCGATCTCGAGGATACTATAATTTCAATGTTATGTGCGAAGAAAATATACTTTTGAATTAGGTTTTATGAGATTTTGAAAATTAGGAGATACGTTGAAAGAAAAACTACTTAATATGGTAGAATAGTTGTTAGTGGTGAAGATGTACGATATTAAGATATACCCTAGTTATAGATAGTTTCAAAAAAAAAAAAAAAAAAAATCCTAGTTATCGATAGATAATTAATTACTAGTCTTATCGAGATAGGAATATCTATGTATAAATACAGGTCTTTGGCCATGATAATAAACAACACAAACTATTATATTTATAATTCTATACATTTCATGGTATCAGAATAAAAGATCTAATTTAAAAAAAAACCTATTTCTTCATACTCAAGAAACATGACAGAGATGACTTCATCTATGTCGTCTACATACCAACGATCCTAATGGATTGTATTATCTACACCCCTCTGATAACGCTGGAATATTAATCACCTCGGTCCTGTTACTTGGTGATAACTATGCACCTCGGTCCTGTTACGTGCTGATAACTATGCAGAATGGTCTACAGTTCCTGCAACCCGATCAACAAATCCCGACCACAAAGAAGCTTCCAGCCGATTCGACAGCTTCGTCTGAGCCGATCCCGACCATGATTCTCGACAGCATATCAATCCGTTCGTTCTGATCTCTTTGGTGGTCCAGTTCAACCCTACAAACTCTAAGGTACATCGATTAAACCGTAAAACCTAATGATCGAATTTTAAAACCCTAAAGCCATTCTTATGGCATCCGTTTATTTTTGTTAAACTCTAAAATCGATTACCTAAACCCTAAACCTTATCCGCAAGTATGTATATTCATACTATGCAAGAAATCTGAAACCTTAAACCTAATATGGTTAATTTTATTGTTTGATTGATCCAAAACTATGAAACCCTAAATTTTTGAATTGGAACCCTAGACCCTAATTGATCATATTGAATCTGATTATGTGATTGTTTTGAGAATTGATATTGATTTTTTTGATTGAACTAATCTTAGAACTCTAAATTGCTAGATTGATTGCTTTGGTAAGTGAAACCCTAATTCTTGACCAAAACCCTAAAACCCTAAATCACATATTGATTTTCATTAATGGCATTGATTGATTGTTTTTGAAAGTTAGGTTGATAGATTATTTGATTCATATGACATATTGAATCTGAAACCCTAAATCTCGCATATTGCTAAATCCGAATAAATTGTTTTAAGGGTCGTACGCTAGGTTGATTAATTGTCATGATTGAAACTCTAATCTGAAACACTAAACCCTAAAGTGCGTATTGTTGGCCTAGCTAAGATAAACCCTAATTTATTGAATCCGCATGATAGTATAAAGCACTTGTTCCTTAAGATTGATTGCATCTCATCCCCGCGGCCGTGTGGCCTTATTGATTGAATGTCTTTAAGATTTTATGGCCGCATTGTATTGCTTGATGAGCATATAGAAATCGCAAGCTAGGGTTGATTGCATTATATATCTCCATGGCCATGTGGCCTTATACATATAGAAATTAAAGGCTAAGGTGTTTACATTACATTCATACGACTTGTATGCATCATGAGCATATAGTAATCATTTTATTAGGTTGATAGAATATCATACATGGCCGCATGTTTTGATTGATCCGTATAACTGGTTATAAAATAGCAGCATAATCCTTGCTTTATGGCCGCATGTTTTCTTGGCCACATGCAAATTATTTTATGAAACCTAAAAATTGATTGATATATGATTTCAAATGTCGAAAATGTGCAATATGGTACCCTAAATCTCTCCGGAGATAACTATTTGCAATGGGCACGAAATACTAAAATCAACCTGAGGTCAAAAGACTCGGTGAGACTGTAATCGAGGATAAAAATGAGAATGATATAAATAGATACAAGGCAATAAGTACTATTCGACATCATCTCACTGAGGGTCTAAAAGATCAGTATCTCAGTATTGAAAATCCTCGAGATCTTTGGACCGCTTTACAGCAGAGATATGATCACCAGAAAACGGTGTTACTACCAAAGGCTAGATATGAGTGGAGGAATCTCATATTCCAGGACTACAAGTTCGTGGGTGAGTACAACTCAATTTTATTTAAAATCATCTTAAAGATGAGACTTTGTAGTGAAGAGGTAACTGAGAAGGAAGTACTAGAAAATACCTTCTCCACATTTCATTCAAGCAATGTGTTGCTGCAACAACAATACAGAGAAAGATGCTTCACCACCTATACTGATCTGATCTCATGCCTATTACTGGCTGAGACTAATAATGAGTTGCTCATGATGAACAATGAGATGAGACCTCCTGGCTCAACCCCATTACCTGAAGCCAATAAGGCTATAGAAGAAAAGAAAGATTATATAGAAAGTAACCATATCCAGATTGATAAACCTCACGCTCATAGCCGTGGTGGATGGAGAGGACGTGGTGGGCGTGGACACTATAGCTCTTATGGCCATGGGAACCACTATAACTGTGGTCGTGGACCCAATTTCGGCCATGGTCGAGGTAGAGGACGTGGTGATATCTCTAAATCACCACACTCGTCCAAATCAGTGTGCCACATGTGTGGAATGGACAATCATTGGGCTAAGAATTGTAGGACTCCCAGACATCTTTGTGACCTCTATCAAGAGAGCCAGAAAGAGAAGAATCCAGAAGTCCATTTGGTCCACCATGATGGGGAAAACAATTTTGATCATGAGCAGGATGACCTTATGGATTATGAGACTTCAGATTGCCTAAAAGAATGAATTTCGACATTCAGATTTTTTTTTGTGTTTTTTTTTTGTTCTGCTTTTGTGTTTTTTGTTTACGCTTTCTTTATAATAATATGATTTCTTTGATTTTATTTTATTGCTATTATCGTGTCTGATTTTTATTAAATAATATGAATGATTTTCATTATTAAAAACGCCAATATGAGTTTAAATTGCAAGTATAGTAAGTCCAATAAAGGACCACAGTCAGGGCATTGTATCATTGCCTAAAGGCCATGATTTATATTCACTCAGAGAAGCCCATTCAGATATAAGATATAAGAATGGTTTCCATATTGAAACAATGGGCAAAGGAAATAAAAGTTCCTTCAGATTATAGAAAGAAAAATCTCCTAAGGCCATAAGAAAGTGGTCAAGACTCACTACAAGAAAACTCGTCCATTACTAGGACGAGTTTTCCTTGTTATTTCCTAGTAAATGACCATTTACTAGGAACTTACGAGGAAACACGTTTCGTCGAAACACGTTCATCGTAAAGCCTTTTTCCTCGTAAGGTCGTAGCTAATATACGAGGAAACTTTTCCTCGTAAAAGCGTGGTTATCTTTTCCTCGTAAGCTCCTCGTAAGGTTTTCTCGTAATGTCATAGTAAATGATTTCCTCGTAAGCTCGTAGTAATACATTACGAGGAACTTACTAGAATAATTTACGAGGACATTACTTCGAAACCTTTATGAGGATTTTGCTTCGAAAGATTTTTTTCCCTATAAATATAAATAATATATTTTTAAAAAATAAAAAAATCAAATTATAAATAAAAAAATAAAAAACAGAATATTTTATAAACAACTAAATACTATACAATTAAGTTTTAAAATTCATAATATATACAATTAAAAATAAAAAAACTACGGATGGTTGTCGTGAAATTGCCGAACGAAATCGTCCTGGCTCGCCAAATCCTCCTCCTCTCCGAAGTTGGTTGCTAGCTGTGACTGTGATGGTGGAGGCTGTTGGGTTGGAAGCCCTCCGCATTCCCGTCTCTGACGCAACATCTCCTCCAATTGTGGGTTTCCAACCGCCAAAATGTCGACGACATCGGTGAGAGAAGTCACTTGCTCGGTGAGCGAACTCACATGAGACTGCGTCGCCTGCAACTCCGAGCGCAGCTGAGCATTGACATCGTGCTGCTCCTGAACATAAGACGATGTCGCTGCGGGGACATCGTTAACCGAACCAATCCCGACGATACGCCCCTTTTTCCTAGGGGCGACCTGTAAATAAAAATATTAATAACGTTAAGAAAAAATTTAAATATATAATAAAAATTAATAATAAAACAAATTATTTACCTCCTCGTAAATCTTATCCACTTCAAGAGTGGATAATATGACTGGAGTCCCAGTCTGCTGAGTCAGCTGGGTCTGGAGTTCGTCAAATCGGGCAACAACCTCGTTGTAGATCCGCTCGGAAGCAGGATCTACAAACTGCCCAACCTTGTTCTCGTGGGTCCTCTTGTAACGGTCTTTCAGAGATGGAAGAACTCCTGTCTCTTTATCCTAAAAATAATTTTTATAATTTAAATATTAATTGGAATATTCAGATAAAGTAAAAATTAAATAGTTATTAAAAATCATCTTACCATGTCTAGACGAACTCCCCCGTGAGGTTTTCGACCCGTGGTGTGAAGCATCTTCGTGTTGCCATGCTCGCGTTTGGTCATGCGGTTCCCGGAGTTTGTGTGGGAGTTTCTGACTGAGTCCGGCAACCCCCAATAGTTGATGAGGCCATCCCACACTGTGGTTGTGAGGCAATCGGGTTTCCCGTCCTCGTAACCATCCACCTGATTTAAAATAATTAGAATTAAAGTCAATAATATTTTTAAAACTATTTATATATATATATATATATATATATATATATATATATATATTATAATTTATAAATCCATACCTGATAGTCGCACTTCCAGTTTTAGACCATGTCGAGCAATCGTGCTCTTGCCTTGGCATTAAACTCCGTCTTCACCCGTTGGTGAATCCCAATAGACCAACGATATTTTTGCTGTAACTAGAAAAAATAAGAGACGAATTAGTTCAATAATATTAAGAATTTTAAATAATTAAAAATAAATTAAGTTGATTAATTAAACTTACAGCGAACGATTTGAACCACGTCTTTTTTGTGTGGCTCGCCGTCTTCTTCCAGTTTGGAGCTGCATCGGGAAAGTATCCCTTGATACAGTCCGTGACGCTAGTTGCGACACATCCGTCAAGACCAAACCTGGAAAGA